GCTTTATAGAAAGCTGTTATCTGATTACAGTGTCATTAGTGGTAAACAAAAATTTCACTGGAGTCTTTGTTATTTCATCAGATGGAAAATCCTTAATTTCTTAAAATTTGTGTAGTTCTTACATTAGTAGCAAGGTTGAATAGTTTTCCAAAAATCTTTTGAGTGTTTGTGTCTCATTATATGCTTCTTTGGAAACTATGTCCTTTTTTTTTCTTTCTATTGATAAATGCTCTTTGTTTTATTTCTTGTTGTTTTGTTTTTTGTAGTGCTAGGGATCGAATCCAGGGATTTATGCATGCTAGGGTAATGCTGTACCACTGAGCCATATTCCTAGCCTATTCATAAATGTTCTATAAATGTTCTTTATATGCCATGAACAGTTATCCTTTACCTACCATAATATGTATTAGAAATACATTCTTATGTTTCATATTTTGCCTCTATTTGGTTTAGGTGCTTTTAAATATACAAAAGCATAATGTTTGTATATTCAAACTTTTCAGTATTTTCTTTTGAAAAATTTTTGTTTCCTTATTCCAAATCAGACAATCTAAGCATATCATTGAAGTTTTGTTCATTTTTCCAGTGAAAATCTTAAAGCATTTAAAAAAATTTTTTTTTAATATTCATTTTTTACTTTTCTGTGGACACAACGTCTTTGTTTGTATGTGGTGTTGAGGATCCAGCCCGGGCCGCACGCATGCCAAGCGAGCTCACTACCACTTGAGCCACATCCCCAGCCCCAGAATCTTAAAGCATTTAAAGCTTTCCAGAGCATTTGGAACTTTTTTGTAGTACTCAGGGTAAGGTGAGGCCCTATTTGGGTTCTTTTCCACAGAGCCTCTTTTCCCATTAACCTTTGGTTTATAATCTTTTTCCATATTCATTTCTAATTCCTAAATGTGACAGTATCAGTGCAGTGCTCCCTGTTCTGTAACCTGTATCACTCCTCAGAGGTGTTCTTTGCTTTATGTTTTAAATAGCTAATGGATCAATTTTTTTTAAATTTTTTAACGGTGCTAGGGATCAAACCTAGGGCCTCATGCACAATAGGCAAGTGCTTTA